TGTGACGACGTGTTTGAAAGAAAAGAGGTTCACTCAGCCAAAGTACATGCAGCAGTCAAGGCCAGAGAGCCAGTAACATCACAGAGAGCAAATAACGGCCAGAAGAAACACTCAAGAACGTCATTCAGTATGAGCCGAAACAATGCCAGTGCTTTAGTTTAGACGATTGGAATTTCTGATTACAAGCAGTTAAAAGTCTCCACAGACATAATACATGTTGAGATTGTGAATATGCATGAGAGTGATATAGGCATCCTATGCAAATGTTTTTCCTTCATACATTGAATTACTGTAGCTGCGAAAAATTGGGTTGCTGCATCAATCCATAGTGTGTATAAATCCCGTTTGTAAACAAACACAAACCCACATGCAATGTTAGATTAGACTATCACATGGAAGCAGCATCAAGATCCACTCAACACAACATGGCAAAATTCCTCTATTTGATCTGAAGCATGCACCACTATCTGAGTGAACCAAGACCTTCTAAGACCATTTGAACGGTGTCGTTCTGCCATATGGCATTGGCCAGGGCCAAAGAAAATTATAATGAATTAAAGGGATAGTTCACTTTGAAATTAATTTTTGGTATGTTTTAGCTTACCTCAAGGGCATCCAAGATGTAGTTGTGTTTGTTTCAGCAAAATTTTTATATTTTTAGGTCAAGCCGTTCATGTCTGTCAGTCATATAATGGAGGTCTATGGGGTCCACCTCAAAGAGCATGCACAGAGAAGTCCAAATTAAACATGATTTAATGACTCATTAATGTAAGTACACATGGATGGCCTAAGACACGAAACGAGCGGTTTGTGTGAGAAAACGAATAGTTTTTATATAGATTTTACCTCTTGTGACCACAGCCACGTTCAAGTAATATGAGGGCGCGGGCGCTTTGTAGCTGTGGTTACAAGAGGTAAAAACAATATAAATACTGTTCGTTTTCTCACACAAACCGCTCGTTTCGTGTCTTAGGCTATCAATGTGTACTTATATTTACGAGTCATTGAATCATGTTTAATTTGGATTTTTCTGTGCATGCTCTTTGAGGTGGACCCCATAGACCTCAATTATATGACTGACAGACATGAACGGCTTGACCTTAAAATATCAAAATTCTGCTGAAACAAACACAACTACATCTTGGATGCACTTGAGGTAAGCTAAAACATATCAAAAATTCATTTCAAAGTGAACTATCCCTTTAAAGAAAACACACAAATAATTGATTGAAATATAAAGAAATCTTTACACAAGGCATTTGAACTTCAACGGTTCTTATTATATGCCATTGGCCACATATGTTATTTGGAAAAATAAACAGGAAATGCATATGGCTCCAACTGTACTGGCACATTGGCATCTTTCACATTAAAATCAAAATCTACAATGTAAGCTTTAGATGAAACAAACGAAAAGAAAAATGAAAGGTTTGTTGTCTGAAGAGAACCGGTAAACGGTTAAAGAGAAACTGACTAGATTTAAGGCTATTCATTAGTTTGTTTAGTCAGATTAAATGGTATTAAGTGTGTAATTTCTGCACACATAATCTAACTAAATTGCACAAATTCCAGAACATGACCCTCATTTGTCATTGGTCAGATAAACAGATAGCCCTGCCCCAAACTCACCCCATTGGTTAAGCCAATGCTGCTGGTTGGATCGCTCAAACAAACAGAGCAATATTTTGATAGCGCCACAGAACTAAAGGGTTAGACTTCATGGAAACAAACATGAAAAATGATTAAAAACTGCTGTCTCCATATCTAAAAGGCAAAAACAAGATGGCTAACTTAAAGCATACATGTCAAAATGTTGCTGTTTGAACTTGTACTTTCAATCAAACACCTCTCTGCTCAGCACAAACTGCTGTCTATTATCTAAATCAATCAGTCATAGAGGACAAAATGGAGATAAGTAAAATCCTTCAACAGACATGAAATTTTCCTTGCTAAATCCTGTTTAACCATTATAATCTGGCCTGTGGAGGCACAAATGTTGTAAAAGAATGACTGGGCTATTGTTGGGGATTTCCAATTCAGTCTGGTTGTATAAAAACTGAAATGTAATGGAGGTTAAAGAAAAAGCTTCTTTAATCCCTGAATAAGATCATTTTGTCTCTGGTGTGCCACACTGGCTAATCCAGTGGGATTCCTTGTCATCCAACATTGTTACTCTGATTGGCACTGCATTGTTCAAACCTAGTATTTAACACTGTTGGTGTTTCTCTTCTTTTTCTTGCTCATCTAAGTTTGAGTATAAATACTGGCTCAACTTTAAAAACATTACAAATTTTATAAACATTAGTCATTTTAACCTAATTTTGGAGATTCTTATGCTACATTTTAGACACAAAATAGTAAAAACTGCAAACAGGCTCATTGTAACTACTGCACCATTTGGCCTTCACATTTGTTTCATTGCGGAAGAATTTAAAGATTATTAAAAAAAAATAAATAACACAATGTAACAAAAACTCCTCAAAGGCAATAATAAATGAATTAACTTGAAGTGAAATTGGCGAAGATGATTTACGAAGGAATAAATCCTCAAATTGTCAACTTAACACTGCAGAAAACCCATTCTTAATCAGTGTTTTTGTCTTGTGTAGAATCATTTTAACATCCTTAAAACTTAAAACTGCAAAAAAAATAATTAAATCTTCTTCTCAGAAAATGTTTTTAATTATGTTTATTTTCTCTTACCACATTGGCAACTGCATTTATTTATTTTAATTCTAACAGAATTTAGTGAAGTTTATGCCTTGCCATTGTGGTTAAAAGAAGTTTTTCAGTGTCGCTGACATTCAAATCAGAGGATGCTAAAACATACCCAACCATGATAAAAGACTGATGTGGACTTATTTCTTTTTCCAAAACTCAGTTATAGTGACTGAAATTTTGGGATGAAGCATAAACAAGACATTGTAGTGCACAAAGAGTTCTGTAGCAGTCTCTGGTGGAACAGCACAACTAGCCATTGGAAAGGACACAAAGCTGGTGATGATATTCACCATGTGGTGTATTTCCTCATTTTCAATAGAAGTTGAGAGAAAAAAAAAAACGAGGATCTTCTCAAGTACAGAATGTTCGTTAATGCAATCGTGCAGCAGTTGTTGCGAATCTCAAACAATGGCACATGCTGTTTGGCAGGAGACTGACTAGAAAGTCATTAAGACACAGACAAATCCTTGTTTTACAGTCTCACGATCCTCAGAGCAAGAGTGAGGTAAACCCAGAGATATTTGTGGGTCCAAAGGCCTGCTCTTCATCCTTTGAGCACCGCTAGCACTGATAGAGTTTTCCCTTTGATTTAAACGTGCATTACCTTTTAATGGTCCTTAGGTTATATTTGAGGGCTAGTGGATCACACACACACACACACACACGCACACACACACAGGTGACCAGAAATCCATGAAATACAATCCATGATGTAACGGAGGCCAGCTAGTAGTTGCTGTGCAAGTAAACCTCACTCCTCTGATCTCAATAGGTGCTCTAGCAACAGACGCTAGGGGCTGCAGTCTTTAGCCTCCTTGTTAGAGCGCCCGAATCTCACGTTGAAGTAGTGGAGTTGAGTAGGACCCGGGTGGAGGGGTTACATACACAGCAGGACTCGACAGTAAGGACTGCCCAATGGCCCAGTGGATCGCTGACAGGTGGGCCAATTCTGCGTACTCATGAAAGTTTGTCATTTGAACATGTTTTTTAAGTCTTGCTAATTTAAACATTCGAGCGATCGTAAACCATTCAAGCACAATAATTATTTCAATGAATTACTTTAATTATTTAATAAAAATAAGGCTAAAATAAAAAAAGATTGCCTTGTCAGTAACTGAAAAAATACTAAACACGTGAGCTGAAATAAAATATCAAAATCAATAAATCAATAAAAATCGATAAAAATATAAAATTGATAAAAGTAAAAACTAAAATTTATAAAAAAATAAACTGAAATTAAAATGAAAACTAAAAATATAAAAGTATAAGATAATTACAAATATTTGTAGTACTATAATGGTATATAAATAACACTAAAATAAAGTCAATGGACTAAACACATTAACCCACCCCCTCTTTTGTTATGAATCGCTACAAATCAGGCTGCTGGATTCTTACGTTAGAAAAAGCATACAATCATAGCGATGACAAATTTAAAATATTGTTTTTAGCTGTCAAACTAAGACTAATTATTAGGACAAATGTCATCCTAAATTTAGCTTGTGATGTGGGACAAGACTTGTCAAATCAGGACTATTTGGTCACCCAAACACATACACACACACACAATATCAAATGCAGAACAAAGGTGAAATGCTCATCAAACCCCCCAGCATTTTTGTAATGCCAATCCATGTTTTCAGGCAGAAAATGGCATGGCAGATAGTTCGGGTGGGCTTTTAGTCCCATGAGTCCGGTGGTAAAAGTAGAACTTGCCTTTAAACTCCAGTAGGCTCCAATCCAGACTCCTGTTGCTAAGCGACTTGACCCGGAAAATCTGAAGAGTTGCCCGCTGCGGCCCACCGGTCACTAATCTTTCAGCTAAATGACAGCTGATCAGGTCTAGCTAAAGATCAAGGTCTTTGTAATCAGGTGGACCTCCTGAATGGGCACGTGTTGACACTGACTGGACATGTGATGACTGAATGCATGGAAGAGAGACAAGGGGGAAAAAGTGGATTTGAATCATTTCCCTGGGCTGGGCTGCATTCAGTGATCTGGCAGACGAGGCATGGTCGCTCATGTGACTAAGACTCCTTAAAGATCTAATTCTACCTTAGACCACCTCTTGACTAGGTGGTTTTAAATGTATTAAAAATTGATTCACAGAGAATTTACTCACTGTCATGTTATAAACCCATATACTGTTTTTTGTGGAACACAAAAACATTTTTTTTTATCTTTATGTAGCTATTTTTCACACAACATGCCGTCAAGCTCCAAACACCACAAAAGTGGTCCATACAACTTTTTCAAAGTCTTCTGAAGAGCTTTTTAAAAAAAAAAAAAAAAAATGAATTCATTATTCACCTATAATCTTCCCCTCCAGTGAACCGCCGAATTAAGCACCAATGGAAAACGGATCAATGAATCATGGATCAGTGGTTATTAAGTGAGAACTCAAGAACTGATTTGTGAACCAGATCAAATGGTTCACTGAAACGAACAGGCTCAAAAGATTAATGATTTGTGAATCAGAATGTACAAGGTTGTGTCAAAAATCACCCCCTATACCCTTAAAATCACCCCATATACCCTTAAACCTAATAAAGTGGACATTATCGAGTACACTCATTCAATCCCACAAAGCACCGCAATAACGAGTGTACAACAGATGTACGCTAAACAGCTAGAGAATACCCATAATGTACTTGTGCGTCAAATTAATTTCTGCGTCTTGCCATTTTGTGGATACAGCGTAATATCATACAGGTATAAATACATTTTTAATATATCATTATTAATTATTAAAGGTTTGTAACATATTCCATGAAGATACTGTAGATCTTTTTATCTTACTACTAAAGCTGCCGATTTCAGAAGGGGGCAATTTCAGGCACAGACCAAGTTCAATTCACTGATTACAAGTTACAAGATCACTGGAGCAGAATATTATCACTGAATAATGACTTCAATTTCAGTCTGTTCCACACATAAAGCTATCATATGGCTTCAAAAGACTCGTAATCTACTGTATGGATTACTGTGGTCACTACCAAGTACCAACTGTGAGGATTATACAAAACTGTCATTTGATCTATAGAAAACATAGCATTAAAGGGGTTTAGGACAACATGAAAGTGAATAAGGGTTCAGCTTTTTTTCAAGGGGTAAAAAAGAGGAAGAATGTATGAGTGATAAAGGCATTGAGGGTGAATGAAGAAACCAAGCTGAATGTGTGAAGTGGCGGGATGCATGAGGCTCAGGCTGCATTAAGTTTGTGATCAGATGTTGGTTAAAGTGGTGCAGGTGATCACCCGCACAGTGACCGTGCCTGGAAGGTTGTTGTCTTGGCGACTACCCTTGTCTTTAAGGTAGACTGTGTGCTGCTCTTGCCGGTCATTAGGGTCAGTAAAGAGGGTCACCTGACCCAGGAAGGTGTCAACAATCACATTCTTATTGTAGATCTGAGTTCGTCAAGGAGCAGTCAGAGGGGTTAAGCAGGAGAAACAGAGAAGAAAAGCAGAAATAAGGTAAGAGGAACAGATCAGGAGATCTGTAGCAGTTGGTGAAAAGGATTGAAGGAGGAAGAGAAGTAATTACATACTTCCAACTCACCTCGATGTGAATGCCTTCCTTTGGTTTTCTGCGGTAGAATATTCCCTTAATATCAAAACTAGGGCAGCGTGTGTCTTTGTACACGGGGGAGCGAACTTTTTCCCCCTCACAGGTTATGATCACATATGGGTCAGAGGCTAAAAAACATAAAATAAAAAAAGTGTTAGCAACACACTTTATATGACAGGATTCAGAACATACAGTTGCTGCCTCTACCACTGACACGCTGCTAAATATTTTCTTAATTAGTCATTTTTTTATAGTAAAAAATAATACAAGTAACTGTTTTCTATTTAAATAGAATATAATATATTCCTTTGATACATTTTCAGCATTATTACTCCAGTTTTCAGTGTCACATGATCCTTCAGAAATCATTCTAAAATGCTGATTTGCTGCTCAATAAACATTTCTTATCATCATCAATGTTGAAAAAAGTTGCTCCTGCTTAATATTTTGTGGAAATTGTGATACATTTTTTTTTAATCCTTGATGAATAGAAAGGTTCAAAGAACAGCATTTATTGAAACATTATTAAAAAAAATCTTAGTGACCCTAAACTTTTGAACGTTGGTGTATATTTATATTGCAAGTCTAGAATAAATGTATCTTGTTCTTTGGATGTTTGAGACAAAAATAATGATTAAGAAAATGATTTTTGCAGTGCACCATAAGGAAACAAATACAATGCCATGCATTGAATACAGACAAGTCGGAGATTGAAAAATAAATTAAAAAAGCACTTGCTCTGAACCCGAGTTCAGTTCCACCTAGTTTTCCCAGCAGGTCTTTTTTTAACATTACGGGATGTTTTCATCATCACTGTGAATTTCACCTGTTTACGAGTGTAGCTAGGAAACAATTAAGGAAGAGAAAACCCCAGTTCCCTTTCATTGTTTCGCTTAGAAGCCTATCAACTTCGAGTATTTACAAAACGAGCCAATGGCAAAGAAATGCCATGGGTCTATGGAATGGCATAGTGCAACTCCTCCCCACCTTGTGGGAATAAAACGAGGAAGCCGGCAGAATGCAGATATGTTTTCGCTTCGGAGCCAAGTTAATTTTTCGTTCCTTTAGCCATCTCTGATTCGTCAGCTTTCTACGAGACGAGCAAACTCTCCAGTGTTGGTGTGACGGCGTCACACCAACTGCTAATCTGTGCATGGTTTGCCAGTTGTTTCAACACTCAGTTTTTTCTCAAAAGAGCTTGCACGTGGCACGTCTTTTTAAAGATGCCTCGCCCGTGCACTTCTGGTTAAGGTCGACTTGTATCTGGCTCTGATGGGCACGAGCGCTGTCTAGCGTGTTTGGGCATTGATCATGCTAGAGCAGCGCTCGTGGATGACTCATGTTCTCTCTGTGGGAACATGACCATCGCAACACTACGAACGAGTGACCTCGCAAGAGTGAGAGCCCCCTCATCCACACCCCGATCCAGCGCCTGGAAAGGCTCTCTCCAAGCAAAGGTTGTCTCACTGAATAGTGGACGCCATTGCTTACCCGGAGTGTGGAATCCTCTTGGGCTCTAGCGAAAAAATAAAAAATCACTAAGAACATAAATATAAATGCAGAACCAGAGTGCTGAGGTGAAAGAAGCAAAAGCAAAAGACAGGCACAGACTGACACTAGACAATTTAATATTCTAGAGCACAAAGTTACACTGAAAACATGTTAAAAATAAGTCTTCACAAATGTCACTTTCACTATTCTGTGCTAGAACTAAAGTAAATGAGATACAGTGTGGCAGATTTAGACACTTCATTAGAATTAATGTTGTAACATGCTTACATTTCTATTTTCTATAAGTGGAAGGAGATGCTAGTGGCTGCTAATATCAGTACCTCCTGTGTAGAAGTCAGAGCGTGTCTTGTGGGAGATCAAGCGGTGCAGCTCTGTGTGCGGTCAAAAGAGATTTCTATGTGTAAAAGCTCCAGATTTATTAAGCAGCACAAAAATCTGAATCTGTAATGGGTTACAGGAATAATTCATCATTTACAGTCTGTACTCAATGATAACAGAAAACATTTTTTGGGTGAACTAGCCTTTAAAATTGTACATGACTGCAGTTTATAGAGCACTTGTTTCAGGGTCTATGGGGAGAATCAACTATGAAAATTGTTATTAGTATTATCACATTCAAATGCAAGAGCATCAATGGAATCCAGAAGCAAGACCTTTTATTAAGAAGAAAAGTCATAAATGCAACTTTTATCAAGGTAGATTAATAGTGTTGTTCATCAGCTATTGATATATTAATATACAATTCCTCTAAAACCCACACTTATGAGGCCCTTTTGCACCGGAGAAACGTTTTCATAGTTCGTATGTCTATTGGCAGAGATATCCACTTTTTGGCGAGGACACCAAGGACATTAAAAACTGCAGCCGCTAGCATCAGTCGCACAGCTCTTACTGACCTACGTCTGTTACATTCACCCCCCTAAACCTCACTCCCATCCCGGTCACAGCACCAAATGTAACCGGACCTACTCTGCCCTATTCGAACTGGTGTCTCCGGTGTGAGAGATGGCGCTAACAAGGACGCTAAAGACAGTCACAGTCACTAATGTCAGTTGCTAGCGCTACTCTTTAACCCAGGGGAGTTTACACACATAGTTCTTACTGGCCTACATCCATTACACTCAACCCCTCTTGGGTCACGGCACCAAATGTAACCGGCCCTACTCAACCCACTCCAAGCAGGATTCGAACTAGGGTCTCTGGCGTAGGAGGCGCGCGCTAACAATGATGCTAAAGACCACAGTCACTAGGGTCACTCGCTAGTAGTATACTCACTCGCTAGTTTATAAATAAATTAATATATATATATGAAGAAATAGTACGCATACCTCCATTGGCATCTTGGCCCTGCAAGCCGTCGGCACTTAACACATGCACCTGGGTGACCAGCTGAGGGTAGCCGCAAATCCCAGTCCAGCATGTCTGAGGAGGCTCGTCCAGTGTTAATTCTCTGAGGAAACACAAGCAAGAATGATTTGAGCCTTTCTGGCTAAGTACCAGTGTTGTTCTTAGGGATGCTACCGAAATTTCAGCTACCAAAAAATTTCGTCCGATTTTCAGTTTCGGGCCGAAATGGTTTTGGAGAGCAAAAATCAGTGAGTGAAACAGATGTTCAATTAGCACGTCTCCGATGGCACATTTTGACTGTGTTCAGTGTCTATTTCGCACACACCACGTGGATAAGCTACAACAGTTAAACACGTCAGCTGTGTTGACACTAGCTGTGGATTGACAATATTCATTTCTAGATTTTAATTGGTAATGATATGGTTTCTTATAATAAATATCGTTTTTGAACTAGGAAAAGACGTCAAAACAGCTTCTAGGCTATACATTGTCCCTTTATGTTACATTTACAGTTGATTTAGTTACATCAAGTAAGTAATTCAATGTCCATTAACTCATTAGTTAGCTATAAAAAATAACACCATGTAAATAACACCTATATGCACTCAATTACATATCCATTATATTTTTACTTAACCGTTAGTGATGGCGACTTCATTATTTAATGTATGTTTGTTATAAAATACAAAATGTTTTTGTTAAACTTTTACTTGACTGTTGATTATTAAATACATTTGATTATTGACATTTTCATTTTCCAAAAATTGTAATTAATCAAAAAGTCTAATATTAATAGAATTATACAAAAAAAGGAAAATAAAAAAGTAACTTCGCATCCTGAATTTTTCCATTTCGGCCCAGAATTGAAATTTTGCTTTATCACTAAATATAATAGAATATTAAAAATAGTAAAATAACACTGCCAGGTACATGTCCACCATGTATTACATATTCCAACTGTAACTGTACTAAAAAAACAAGAATATAGCTAGGGTTAAACAGGACAATGCAGTGCAAGTTGATTTTCTCAGAAAACTAATTTACTTGCAGTCTGAAGGCACATCAGTGAAGACTCTGAGCAGGAACTCTCCTTGCTGACCAGGGTCAAAGGTTGTGGGGATGATGACGTAACGCCCCTCCTTCAGCTCTTTCCTCAGAAAGACGCAGCGAGAGTTGATGTAGATCGACCCTGCGACCTTTTGCTGAGCTGTGTGCATTCTGTATTTTCTGTTCAACTCCACCTAGTGGTTGGAAAGAGGCTTAATGAAGACAGAAATATTACATGGACAGATAAAATACCATTTTTATTTATTATTTATTTTCTTATAGCATTGTCTTTAGTCTTGTATACAATATGACAGGCAGACGTGAAGGCTTGTATTGTGCTGCAATGTGAAATAAAGATATTTATGTGTGCATTTAATTCTGTACCCTATGGATGTCAAATCCAATGGCCAGGTTTTCGCCTTTGCCCTCCTTGGGAGTAGCTCTGCGTTCCTTTTGCTGCAGGCAGATCAGCACCTCATCTTCCACTTTTCTCACATCAAAAACATACTGTGGGCAGAAACATGCAATATCTCACTCCAATGAAACCCGCAAGCTTTAAATGCCTCCAGGACAAGAACAACATTTTACAAGGCACATTCCCACAGGCACTCTGACCTGTGGGTTTTGAAGAAAAGTGGCTTTATGGTTAATGCAGCCTCCGGAGCGGTTGCGGAGCGGGTCGTCTCGGTGGGTCCAGGAGCCCCTCATCACCTCCTCCTCCCAGGTCTTATGAATGCTCAAGTAAGATGTGTTTATCAGGCGACACAGGATCAGGTCGGTGAAGTAGTGACAGAAATCCTCAAAGTTCATCCTGGTGATGCAGTTTATAGCCAGCAAGGGAAGTGAAGTTTATGATAACTGGATAATTTAGGTGTTTTTAGATGCAGTGGTGTGCAACTGTCCTAAACCTGGGATTCTTGAGATTTCTCTAATAAAATCAGATTTTAAAGCAAAAGGGCAAAATATTTATATAATGGATCAAGATTAATAAATGCTGTAAAACATTGTTCATTGTTAGTACAGGATACCTAATGGAGTAACAAATGTTAATGAGTTTAACCATATTGTAAAATGTTAAAAAAATTAATTTAATATAATATAACACTCAAAAAAACGTATATTTATAAATAAATTACTATTGATCTAGATGAATAAATTCTGTAAAAAATGTACTTATTGTTAGTACATGATCCCTAATGGAGTAATGAATGTTAATGAATTTAACCTTATTGTAAAATGTTAAAAAATATAATATAATATAATATATTATATTATAATAAACACTCTACAATAGTATAGAATCTAGAATAATGCTGTAAAAAAATGTTCACTGTTAGTAAATGACACCTAATGAAGTAATGAATGTTAATGAGTTTAACCTTATTGTAAAGTGTTAAAAATAATATAATAAATAGTTTATTATAATAAACAATGGTCTCAACTTTTGGAACCCATCTGATCAGAGACAGTGATCTAGACCGATCTAGAAGGTAAGATCAGAGCAAGCCTCACCAAAACTCTCCATCATCCTGAACAGTGACGCCCAGTTTCTCTCTCTCACTCTTGCTCACTTTCTTCCACTCCTCTGAGCTACAAAACAGACCAGTGATTACTCGCCGTATACCAAACTGTGAGAAATAAACATACAGTACACACACGACAGCATATACACAGCCTGTGTCCATAACCATCAACTAAGATTTTCTAGGATGCTGTGAAAAAAATAGAGCACTTCACCAAGTATGGTATTTCTAATCAAGCCCTGAATAAATAATTCATCAAGCAGAAATATTAAGAAAGATTACTTTCACCTCAATAAGATTCTTCTGGCTCCCCAGTAAATAATTCAGAGGCCAATATAAGTCTGCCTGTTGTAGCACTTGAACAAAGAGTGATTGTCAAGATTTTCCTCTCTCCAATTACACAGCCAGTGTTGGGGATGTTACTTTTAAAAAGTAGTGTATTTCAATATTGGTGAAAATATCTGAATTTGCTTCAGAGTTATAGACATTTATGTGAAAAAACAAGTCAAAACAAGACTGACAGGTGACTTTGATAGAATTTTACTACCCCTTCTATTTTGACCTTTGGACATTTAAATATAGCCAGTGACCTATGGTTCCAAACTTCTGACAGTGGTTTCGTCTCGATCAGACTAGCGTTTTCGAAGATATCCGCAAATGTTTTTTAAGCACTAAATTACAATGCTTCACAAACCAAATGGCAAGGCCTGTCTAGCATCGCTGGACTCGGCAAGGATTCAGGAGTCTAATGGTATGACTCCCGTGAAAATAAGTCAACCACAGCCAGAGTTATAAGCATTTGAATATTTTATTTTACCACTAGGTGGCGGTGTTTCAAAACTTCCCAGGCCATCGTACTGATGACCCATACCGAGTTTCGTATCAATACGTTCATGCGTTCAGAAAATACAGCCTATTAGCACATAATTCAAAATGGCCAACAGCCAAAATTTCCAAAATTGCATATAAGTCGACTCGGCATGACGCCCAGAATCTAACGAGACCACTTTTATGATTTGGACAAACCGATCAAAAGTTCTGAGCAAAATTAGCCATTTTTCATATCTCCGGACCAGTAGGTGGCGCTGCGTGAAAACGCAGCATATAGCCTCAGGTTATGCTTGTGATGACATGTACCAAGTTTGGTCTGAATACGATTAAGCGTTACGGAGATAGAGCCTCGCAAAAGTAGTTTTTTCAGACAATTCAAAATGGCGTATATTTATGACGCAAAATGACATCATAGGATGAGATCGAATCGGCATGAGCTCAGACTTTTGTTGATAAGCCTCACGGTTCAAAAGTTATTAGCATAATTTGAGTGAAACTTTGGACAGGTGGTGGCGCTAGAGGCAATGAGTTAGAGACACCAAAATTAGTGTATTTATTATTGAGACTGTCCTCTATCAGAATATCATACCAAAACAACTTTCCCGCAAACGGTTCTATGGGTTGCCATAGACGCCCAGACGGAGAAGAATGATAATAATAAGAACCGGAACAGATATAATAGGGGCCTCCGCACCTTCGGTGCTTGGAAACAATTAAAAATGAAAAGAAATAGGCTACTCTCTGTCAAATGACGAGATCGCTGTCAAATCTGTCCCTGGGAAAAGAAACATTTCGCTGAATTGAAAAAGGAACTACATTTTCGCGCTACACTACTTTTTACCCGAAAAAGTAGATACGTTACTGTAATGCGTTGCACACAACACTGTACACAGCCCCATTTTAATAATATGCTCTTCGCTGCAGTGGTGGATATTTAGGGTAGGTGTCAAACATGTGATAACACAGTTATTTAAATGAAAGGAGGTGGATGTCTAAACACCCTCAAACCTCTGCGTTTCAATTACAGCCGCTTGCTATTTTTTTTACCAGCCTGCCTTGCTTGATTTCTCAATATCACACCAGTCAGCGATAAGAATAGACACTCTGGCTATGTGTTATTTATAATAAAACCATCTCAGGAGGAGGGAGAGAAATGGTTTTCTCTAGTCTCTGAGGATGTATAGCACAACACTGCAAAAAGAGCAGAAAAGGCAAAAAAGACAAATCATTTCTGTATATGTTTGCACTGTTTTTGTAGCGATTATTTAGAATTGACTGTTGGGAAGATGTGCAAGAAGTGTCTGAATACAATGCCACATCGTAAAACTTTTTGCTCTGAAACATCAGCTTTGGAACTAATGTGGGAAATTTGGGTTTGAGTCTGGCTTGCAACTTATCTCTCAACATTTTTTGTCATAAAAATGGCAATAGAAAAAAAGCCATTGTTGATTATTACGCCATTGAGTCCCAAACTTTATGTCAGCCTTGACTAACAACATTTACTTGAAATTCCCCCTGAGATTTTATGTTAATATTTCAATAATTTTACACTTTACATTTATGTTCTTGGTTCTCTGATGTTGGTTAATCGTCCCATGAAACACAGGTAAACAAATAAAAAAAAGTATTTAATTTTTTTTTATTAATTCAATAATTAATTAATCAATCAATTATAAGCTTTACGTAAACTCACAAACTTGCAAGGGTTTCATGAACCACAGTTTGGGAAACCTACTATACAATATGTTCTAGATGCTATACGACCTCCAATCCAGGAGGGGGCAGTCTCACCTGTCACTCCAGGGTCCACTCCACTCCTTCTCGCCCCACGGGTTCCTCATGCGGATCATTTGTAGCTTTTCTGACTTGAAATACGCCAGAAGGCCATGTCCCAGTCGAACCTTGCGAACGTCGGTCACCGCATATGCGTGTCCTTTCACTAACCCACATTCCAGTCTTGCCTCCATGTCCTCTATTGTGGTTGCCTGAACACCGAAGGTCAAATTTCAGTTAGTTTGCTGAACACCTGACATCATGAAGTCTATCTTAAAGCATAAACATTGTTATCCTTGATTAGAATGCAAGCACAATCACTGTGTGTGAATTATCGATTATAAAAACATGGGCGTTATTTCATGGTACAGTGAAGAATAGTGATGTTAATCAGTAGGAGACAAGCCACGCACATTTATTACACTCCAATGAGCAGAGGACTTGCTGTGCAAATGAAGCTGACAATAATGTACAGGTGTGTAAGCTCCACGTGACATGAATCAATTGTCGACATTATCAAGACTAGGTTGGAAGGACGGACGGAGAGTGACATGGAAGGACTATGTTGCGTATAAAAAGGAGCATTTTACATAAATGCAAACAGCCATTTTCTCCTGCACATTTGAACAAAAGCCCTGAAAATAACATAAAACTTGATAAAGTATTTTGAAGGCCGATACTGATATAAATATTTTTGGGTTCTAAAATCCGATATATCGGCCGATATTTTATTTATTTATTTATTTATTTTAAACTGGACATGATAGTCACAAATTTTGTCATGCTTATTTGAGTTGAGATGAACTGATGGGGATGTTCTTTTAATTGTTATTCAAGCAATGTATGTATCGTGACCAACTCAACGAGTGTTGCCAACAGGAACGGTGTAGAGTGCCCTCTGGTGGACAAACTATACAACTCCAACACTCATGACAAGGTTTAAGCGTGTTTCGTCTGTTTTTATTTTATTTTTGAAATATTCATTTATCGCCCATTATAACTGCCAATACTGATAGTTTGGAAAATAGCTAATATCGGCCGATAATATCGGTCTGCCGATATATCGGTCTGGCTCTATTATGAACACCAGACAATCTGCTTAAATGACAACCCTGTCTGGTTTAAATTGATTCCTAATATATATATAAAATGAATCTATGAAGATGAAGTTTCACAGACCATTGGTAAGCAAGTCACACACAATTAGAGATTTCTTTGACTTTGAGAAAGTATACTTTTATGAAAGAAAATACACAAGAACAGAAAAAATGACGGATGGCTAGAATAATAGATGGATGAGTGTCAGAATACAAATATTGATGGTCTGATTCAATGTAAACTAATACATAGGACTTACTATACTAACCACAGATTGTCCAAGTTCTACCCCAATGTTGCAGATACCTGTAATAGGTGTGCAACCAATCACCTGCAGACTTTATCCATGTGTTTTGGTCATGTTCAAAGCTAGCAGACTTTTGGTTTACAATATTTGACACTCTTTTTGGGGGGGGTTAAAAAATGTGAGAACTGTTTCATATTTATCAGTACTGTTTAACATTGGGTACACATTGTTGTATGATTTGTGCTCAATAAAACATATGAAGAGTTCAGATGCAAAAGCCTCTAAATGCCATTTGAAATTTTCTTCTAAAATGATCATTTTTATCAAGCTTGTATATTTAAGTTCAGTAATTTCACCTAAATGGCAATGAAGATTACCTATTAATTGTCATTTAAGCGAAATTACTGAACTTAAATATACAAGCTTGATAAAAATGGTCATTTTAGAAGAAAATTTCAAATGGCATTTAGAGGCTTTTGCATCTGAACTCTTCATATATACTGTATAAAAAAAATCTTGACAAACGTGAGACACATGAGACAATAACATGTACAAAATGCGCTCTGTACTTCCAATGTATTAACATGGGGATAAATATAATAAAATGTATGAATAAATAAATTTTATATAAATACAATATACAACAACAACAACAGCAAAAACAATAAAAAATAAAAAAAATAAAATTAAATGTAAATATAGTCAGACTTGTTCAGATTATATTGCAAGTTTGTATCTCTCACCCTGATAGAGCAGCTGATAAGGCCATCTCGATTATGGACCTTGAGCACTCTTTCAAAGAGCTGGTTTCTGCCGATTTCATCCTGAGCAAACTGGCCCTCCAGAAGGTCCATAGGTTCTGACACGCCACCAGTAAAGTCCACTAGGGCATCGGCCGTGTTCCCACCATCCAAGGCTTCATAGCAACCATAAACTCTTAATTGGTATAGAGAAAGAATTTAACAACACTGTCATCACACTTTAATGTTTATCTCTGTATATATTGTTTATCTCTGTATAACTGCTTACTTGGCATAGGCTTTTTCCACAAGGGCACTCCAGAACTCATTGCTATCATTTGAATGGCAGTACACCAGCTGGTTGTCCACTGTGGGGAGACGGTCATCGATCACCACGTCCACCCAATCCCCAAACCGCCAGAAACGGAAGTGGAATATTCCTGCATAAGAGTCTTCCTTCTCTGGATCCCATTCCTGCTCCTTCCAGTCTGGAATAACCTTGAAAGACACGAAAGTGACATGTAGTGCTTACTAAAAGTGGTGACAAATCACAGACCTATGTAGTGTAGTTATTATTATTTATAAACTATTATAGTATTTATTTATCATTTATATGTGCTTTTATTTTTATATTTACAGTTTTCATTTTAATTTTAGTTAAGTCTTAGTAATTTAAGTCTTAGTAAATGTGTTATGTGCTTTTGTCATTTTTATATTTTTTCTTAATTTTTATATTTTTATATAAAATTATATTTTTATATAAAATATTTTTTTTTAAATAATTTTTCTTAGTAATAGTTTTAGTGTGCTTTTTTTAGGTGTGCTAAATATATTTGCAGACTTGAATCATTTTAATTTTAATCAGAGGGATTGACGAACAAATATTGACTAATTTAAACTATATTTTCATCAAAAGAAAAAAAATATGACAACAACACCAAAAAACTGTATAAAAATGAACACTAATCCAGATGAATTTCCAATATTGTTGCAGTGTAATATTCAATGGATCATTGCGTATCACTTTAAATGTTCATAAATGCAATGTTAAATGTCTCTTAAATGTTAAAGTCTATTGTGGGTAGGACACCAGGGTGATTTGGAGGCTGTATAGCAGAACCACGTCTCTTTCACCTCTGGGACAGAACAGAGATTAGATTTCAAGTACACCTCTGTGGTAATTGTTCCAAGAGAAGCAGGTCTATTATCTGGACACTGTGATACTGACTGCAGTTGAAGTGCACAGTCCTGTTAACCACTAACAGAATCAGCTCCTGTTCCAGGTAAACTTTATGGACATGTGAATGTGAAACAAACACACATGTAGCAAACACAGATGTCTCAAATTCCCTCTTGAACCCGGCATAGCTGTTGCCGAGAGCAACAAATATCTAAACAAAAAATCCCAGAGTGAAATAAGTTGGTTTCAGAGCGCAAAGGCTCATTGTGGCACTTACGGCAGAAGACATCAGCAGAGAGCCGAGGAGGTCACAACAAGCCTAATTTGGCTAGGCAAGAAAAGATAAAGAAAAAAAAAACAAGGAGAAGAAATTTGCAGTCAGCTTTCAAAACATCTTCACAAGGAACATGTCTCTTGAGTTGATATTCAACCCTGATATACAGCTGACAGAGATCATGAGTCTGCGCGTACAGTCTCTGCAACAGCGGGGACAGAAACGCCAGGACGGAGAGCGTCTACTGAGGTCCAGTGAGCGCGTCTACCGCCTGGACTTCTCCGAACAGGCCCTGCATTTCACCCGCTGGAACATCCGCATGTCCACCCCTGGCCGCCTCAACATCATTGCCACCTCTCAGCTCTGGACGCCCGACCTCACCTATCTCATGACCCGCCAGCTCCTCGAACCGACAGGGCTCTTCTGGAAAAGCGCAGACGACGATCTCATCCAATGCTATGAGGCTGATGCCCAGGAGTTCGGCGAGAGGATAGCCGAGCTGGCCAAAGTCCGTAAGGTGATGTATTTCCTGTTTGCTTTTGAAGACGGCTTGACTCCGGAGAGCATCGACTGCTCAATTGAATTCCAGATCTCCAAGTGAAGGGTACGACAGCTTTATCGGTGTGCTTAACCTAGACCTAGTACTTTAAGTAGTTATAACATGATGTACCTAAACACCTATAAAGTTATGACAAAGCCGTGAACATTTTATGCAATGTGATGAGCTGTATCTGTGTGATTGATTGTTCATTTTTAGCTGTTTTTGTGACTGTGATGAGACTGTAATGGAGTTAACCCACAATAAATCACACTAATAATTCAAGAAAATCTAAATTATTCATGAATAAAAGTAAAACTTGTGCTTTTAGTAGTCGTAGTCATTAATCCATTGAATAATTGATGCAAATAACTTTACTGGGTTATGAGTGTCCTTGAGCAGTGGTTCTCAATCTTTTTAACTCCAAGGCACCCCAATTTCAGCAACAATATTCGAAAGCCACATGACTTTTCCAGTTGTTCATGATTTCCTGGATAAGGATTAACTTAAAGGGATACTCCACTTTTTTTGGAAATAGGCTCATTTTACCACTCCCCCAGAGTTAAACAGTTGAGTTTCACCGTTTTCAAATCCATTCAGCCGATTTTCTGACATTTAGAAGAATATCAGTAACAAGACCGTTTCTGGTCTCATTGACTTCCATAGTAGGAAAAAAATATACTATGGAAGTCAATGAGACCAGAAACTGTCTGGTTACTGATATTCTTCTAAATATAAAAAAAAATCGTCTGAATACATCCGAAAACGGTAAAACCCAACAGTTTAACTCTGGGGGAGTGGTAAAATGAGCCTATTTCCAAAAAAAGTGGAGTATCCCTTTAAGGATAATAATTTCCAATTTCCAGATTTAGAAATGACACTTTTATAATGAAACAACCTGAGGTTTTTTCTAGACTGTGGTAATACTGGTTCTTTAAAGAAGAAAGTTGAGGGTGTGAATTAAATTTGAGTTGTTTTGGTTTACTTCGAATGCTTGTTTTGTCTTGTTTTCAATTATTTTAAGTTATCTTGTGGCCACCTTGGAAGTTTGCTGAGGCCCCCTGGTTGCGAGCCACTGCCCTTGAGGATGTATCCATGCTGAGCGCATGTGATTGGGTGGGATAAAAGGTTACTGCAAAGACACATTGCATAGATAGTATCACACACTCTCTCATTTATCAATGCCCGACCCTGTCAGGAAAACAAATGTCAGGACAGGGGAGAGGAGTCCCATTGGAAAGCCCCATAGGTCATCTCCTTCATGGTGATGTGTTTCTAGGGGAGAGGAAATGTTTCCCCAGGCAGGAGAAAACACCTCACACCCTGGGGAGTATGCAGGGAGACTGAAACTTAACATTTATGACTAATTAACAGCTCAGAAAACGATAGCACTCTTTACCTGTCTACCACCACCAAAGCTACAAACAGAAACTGAGATACAGTTACAGTAGTACTGGCTGGGACTACAAGGTTTGTGTGTGTGTGTACATTCATGAATCCACAGGTGAGCAGATCTCTCCCATGTTTAACCATCATCAGGTAATGGTTTCTAATAGAGCAAACAGCTCCCATGGCAGCCTATAACTTACAGCTGCTAAAAGAGCTCATAGAGACTGTTTTACTTACAGCTTAACACACTCAATATATAAGATATCAAATCGATATTTTGACAGACAAGGCTTGACATCACCTCCTGCCAAATGCGGGTGTATTTCAGCAGTGGTGTGTAACACAGTCAGTCCTTCCAGCCAGATTAGCGAGTTTAATTTTATATGTAATATATACATTTTTCAATTCGAGTCTTTAAAAAAGGCATCTGAAATAATAAATGTAAAATAAATAAAAGTGCAATGTAGTGTTGTCAACAATATTGATTTTTCTATACATATCGATACTGAAATATCTGAAACGCTTCCAATACTAATTTTCCGCAGAATAAATACACGATACCAGCAGCACTTTCTCGCTCTCTTAATGATCTCCCTGAAAGTGAGTTGACACACAAACCCGCCTCTCCTCACTCACTCACTCACTCATTTGCTCCGGATGAATATTGTTGGTGAGTTAATTTTCCCTGCTTATTGTGCTTAAACAGTGAAATTGTGGCCAGTGAAAATGCTGAGTGGCTAATAACTTTGGAAAACCACTATCCACAGTGGCTGGTGAGCAAAAAATGTCAAGCACTGCTGACAAAACAAGCAGGTTTTAATCCGTCAATGCAGGTCTAATGGGAAACCTATGCAGGCGTACAGTATCAAAGGAAAAGTGATTTGCGTAAGCAAAAACCTACTATCATTTTGTGCTTGCTGAGCAAAACATGATTCTATTGGGAATCCCATTTAGCCACAAATGACATTATGATATAAATATAATACATTCTTTAATTCTATACATTATTATATGATTCTATAACTTTTCAAGAATTATAATATATATATAAATTTTGATTTCGAATCATAAATACAAAAATTAAAATAATAATAAATAGTTTATACAAGAATTCATATAATATATAAAATGTAATGATACATACAAAACAATATAAGATTAAATATTATTAATAATATCAAGTAAAAAGTGAATCAAAACTTTAAATATCATTATAGGATTTTATTAAAAATCCATAAATTAATTATCCACAATATATTTGTCTATGTAATTTATTTATTATTAGATTGACTGACATATACAATATGATTTAAAATTTTGGTTGCCAAGCAAAATAATAATAACAAAAATTACATTACAATTACATACATTATTTTTTAATAACTATTATTTACTTATCATATAATCTAACATATTGATTTTATTTTATTTTTTAAATGGCCTCCATATTCAAGGATACTCTCCTTATCTTGCAAATGAATCAATGTTGAGTATTTCAACACAATTATCTCACAGTTGCACTTCCATACTGAAAACCAGTGGACATTCCAAGACAAATTCCATTTTAAATGCTGTTACTTCCTTTAGCTCTGATTCAAGAAATCTCTAGCTTTTTCACATATATTTTGGTATCTCTGGACTTTTACCGTCTCCGCGAGCAAGGTTGCAGCTTAGAGGAAACATACTGTAATGTTCATACACACGTTTACACTCTCCGCTTACTTACTTTCTGCCACAGAGACTCTCTAGAAGCCAAGCTGGTGCAGGCTGCCACAAACCAGCAGTTTCCCAGCTGCCCTTGGTGCAGATCATGGGCACTGATCCCATCCACAAACAAGTGAGGATCATCGCACAGCTCCTGATGGAGAAACAGACACAAAGAGAGAGAGAAATAAATTGGTGAGACGAAGAAGAAAAAAAAAATTGCGTGAATAGCAAACATGCACCCAGGGTAAAAAAGATATATTTTAAGAAAGACTGCAAAAACCATGGGCCAGATTTACTAAACAGGGCAAATTTGCGTAAGAGTGCAAAACCTTCTGCGCATTATCTACTGGCAAATGAAAGAACACAGACACAGTGGGATCATTTCCATAATGACCAACGCAATCCACCAAGAGCCATGCCTTTTTTTGGTCGTTAAATAATGGTGCAAATACCAGTAAATTGACAAGTGCGAACCTTAGTAAATCACCTTACATGATTCATTTAAATACTCTCCTCCCATACATTTTGCATCTGAAAAGGAAACTCCTACAGTACAAATGCACATGAAATAAGGTCAGCTGCAAAAATATCCTTGTCCAAGCCTTTTTAGCATTAATTTTTCACTGTGTGTCTTTAGTAAATCCTGACAGCATTTTTTTAACACCAAAAGAGGGTTTTAAATCTGTTCTAAATCTGGCCCCTTGTCTAAAAACATTGCACTTTGTCTAATAAATGAAGAGTTCAGATGCAAAAGCCTCTAAGTGCCATTTGAAATGTTGTTCTAGAATGACCATTTTTATCAAGCTTGTGTATTTAAGTTCAGTAATTTCACATAACTGACAATTAATAGGTAACCTTCATTGCCATTTAAGTGAAATTACTGAACTTAAATACACAAGCTTGATAAAAATTATCATTTTAGAAGAAAATTTCAAATGGCACTTAGAGACTTTTGCATCTGAACTCTTCAAATACAGTTAATTTCACTTCATTTTGATTGACGAGAAGTGAAAACATAAAAAGTACTTGAAAAAGACCGAAGCAGGGCACAGGGTCTTTAATTAATTTAATAATAGTTATGAATGTAGATGAAGTAGTGCAGTGCTGTGCTGAAAGCTGTTATAAATCAAATGAGTTTTGCTGTGACAGCATCCAGCACACCTCTGCAGAGACCTCGTCACAACCACACATAGCCCAGGAGTAAGTGAGATTTGTAGTGACCTACAAGTCTTTACTTTTTGGTCCCTTTAAACAGCTGACATACACTGGGCACAATGACAGCAGCAGAGGGACGTAGCAACTCACAGACTCATTCTGCCTCCGTGTCGAAGATCTCTCCGAGGAGCCGCCACAAATGAGCCCTGGTAAAAGACTAAATGCTTTAATAAGCACCTAACAAACCTCTAATACCTTTTAAAAGCTGATTCTTCAGACAGACAGATAGAAAGCCATTTTTAGCTGTTTTAACTAATAGAATGAATAAATGAATGAATGTACTACTAGAACAGTGTGTTTTTTTCCCGCCCAGTTGTCATGTCATATCTCGCCTAGGAAGCCAGGATTCCCTAAAAATGAATATGAGCATGACCCCTCTACCCGTTTGTTTGTCCTCTGCAGGTATAAAATAAATGTTCTCACAGTCCAAGTTCTCACTTTCAAAACACTCATTTGTCTTTCACATTGTGCTATCCGAAATCATCTTCACAGCTCAGCAGGCGAGGACTCTCCTCGCTATCCGACCGCAACACATCCAGCCCAGCACTCACACCAGCAACATTTCATTCTTTCAGCGCTGGGCTTCTCTCACCTCTTCAATAACACCTGCAAACCACTAGAGATGAGACATGTCATCATGCCATGGTGTGTGAGAACGAAGTGCAAAGGCAAAACATATACACACCAGACACATTTCTCTATTTCAGAGCCAATAAATCCAGACGGGCGACACAGAATCTCTGTTTTTGTTTGTGGCTTGATCACAGTGCATGACTGATTTTCCATCAGACCCTCTGATATTATCACTCTGTCATTACAGAATGTTATTCAGTCAAAGCTTGATTCAAACAGACAGGAATACAAATTCGGCTTGGTGCGGTGAGTTGGTTCAAGCCACTGTCGTCCCTCTAAAAGCGATGTTAGGTCATTTTGAGTTTCATTGATCTGAATAAATATCAATCCATCATGACGTGATTAATTGCTGCCTTCTCATTTCTGACAGTTCCTTGGGATTCAGATTTTTGATCAACAACCAGTGAGCAGCAACGAATCTAATAAATCTGTTTAAAACCTTCAAAAGGGCTCTGACTTCAGATTAATCAATAAAACACTTGTCTAATACACGCCAGTTGAGTGTGTTTGAGCAGAAAAAAACACCATGGAAAAGAGACATAGCTAAACAAAAACCATCAAGAAAAGTAAATCAAATGAGCTGCCTTGCTGTCTACTTTCTACACAAACAGTTATCTAAGGCTGAATCCAAACTGAAATAGTCTAAAAATGTCATATCTTGTTTTATAAGCATTGTTTACAGTACATTGGCACTGCAGTAAATACAGCTGTTCACTCTGGCATTAGCATGTTGCTAAGCTAATGCCATCTAAACAGTAATGAAATCATGCTTTGATGATTATGAAATCAACTGCTTTCATCTATTTTTTTCAGTATTTAATGATTTTTTGCCCTCGACATTTCGTGAGCTTAGAATTATAAGGTTCTATCTCCGTTTAGGGTAGTTCTCAGATATTAAGCATCAAAGTTTTTACATCCCAGCTGGCAAAATCTTTTTTTTTTTTTTTTTTTTTTACAAAAATAACACTACACAGGTATTAATAAACACCAACTGGATCAGATTATGTCAAAAACTCAATTTCGACCAAAAGTGGAGATATAACCTTATAATTCTAAGCTTGTTTTTACATGAACATTTTGGGACAGTCATTTTCACCAATCTCATCCATACGTTAACAAAGTTCATTTGTCCAAAAATCTTTGAAGGCAATAAACTGATGCTGACTACAATTTTGTTATTGTTAACTAATACTAAAACTATCAAAAAAGAAAAATCTAGAATGTAATTTCCCTTTTTTTTTCAAAAGGTAGCTCACTAGTTACCCCCAGACAGGCCGAGACAACACCATTTTTCTCTAGTGTGCAATACATCAATCTTTATTCGACGAGCATTTAGTCTTTTCAGTTTTTTGCGATTTCCTAAAAAGCCTGAAAATAGACATAATATCTAAAAATCCTTCACAAGTCCATTGTCTCCCCCGTTCACTCATGGAACAAAGGACCCTGAGACAAAGACACTGAAAGAGAGAAAGAAAAGACATTGTTTGTGTGTGAATGCTCTCTTCAGAGGTTTTTCAGTGTTGTGGGTGGGTGGAGTGTTGTGTGTGTGTGTGTGTTAAGAGGATGGTGAGCTGACTGATTCGAGAGCAAGGTCATTTGAGTTACAGCTCAGCACACACACACACTTTTTAATCACAGAGCAAAATGGCATCCGAGGGGCAACCTTCTCCAGCGGCTCGGAATTTCATGTGTGTGAAATTGAAAATGAAATGATGTGAAATAAGGCTTATTTGGCATTATTTCATGTATTGAGAGTTCACACACTAATATAAGTCATACTGACTCTGTCTTGGCCAGCTTTGAAAGAGAAGACAAATCGGACGGCCAGAACAAACACAGAATCAATGAACACAAACTCAGACACCAGTGAGCCCACAGTTTGGATAAATGACCGTCTATCACCCATTCCACTGGCTTTAACTCATAAAACACAGTTTTTCTTCTCTTTGGAGAGTGAGGTGGCCTGAAATGGCAGGAGGCAGAAAAGGAAGCGTGTGGGAGTGAGGAATGGTAAATGGTTAAAAAAGCGTGATCAAGGACCCAAGGGGGAAACACAGTGAAATATTAAGTAGCTGCGGTGAACTGCATTAAAGCTCCTAATGGCGTTTAGTCATTCAGAGTGATTTGTGGCAGTGTCTTCAATCACGTCAAACATGGATAGAGTAAGGAGCATTTCATTTTTACAGTTCAGGGACAACATACAACATGTCAACGTGTGAAATCATTCAACGCATTCTCATCCTTTAGCATCATTTAGAACGCTATATGACAAAACGACACAACTCCTACAGTGTTAAATGTATTCCAAGATTAACATGGCTTCCAGTTCGACCTCGTCCATGAGTGTTAACCGAAACGTAAACGTGAAAGACGAAGCTTGAATTAACGGGTATGTCCCTCTTTGGCTAATGTACTTTCAAGATGGAGGGTCAACATGGCGACCGACATTAGAACCCCTTACCCATATGTATTTTCAATGGCATATTATACACTCACGAGAATACTTTATTACTTGAACGAAGTGAATATACATTAATGAGCACATATATTTTTGAAAGAACTAAGTGTTTTTAGCTAAGAATAAACTAAAAGAGTTACACAGTGTAGCTTTAAAGTCAACAAGGAATTAAAATTGGCACCATTTACTTTATTAATACATGTTCTTTGCCTTATTGTGGATGGTTTATCCACATGTTATTCTAAAGAAAAATTATGTTTTTTTTTGTAATCTTTTATAAAAATGTAACAACTTTCTCTGTGACGCATGATAGATATTAGTGCGTCTCACAGGTCTCGTTCATTATCACTCACGCCACCGGCCTCGCGCCATTCTCACGTCCCTCTGCCTCGTCCTGCTCGCCACAACATTATTTCAGCAACATGACAAGCCAGTGAATTAGCAGGTTTCAGTTGTTGCTTTGCACAGTCCGAAACATTTTATCTACATGTTACACGGCTAGAGTTTTGACACCAAGTCAATGCGAGCTCTGTCTAATTCTTACTTGTTTATTGTCATCTGTCTTTTTCCTTTTACCCGTCTTTATTTTATGGGCAGTTGCCACTCAAGGAATTGGCAGTTTAGGTTGTTTCTCCGCCATTTGCACAGCTGCGGTTTAAACGACTGGTATTTCTGCAAATGGCAATAGGACCACTGGGAGGAGCCGGAAGAGCTTGATTTTTTCCACAGATTATCTGTCTCATATTCTATAATGAACGTTTTAACAAATATGTAAAAAATATATTTTTTACAAAAGTTACCTACAGCAGCTTTAATGGCCACAGTGCAATTCAGAGCGTAAGTGTGAATGAGATTCTGGGTCGGGCAATGTTCCAGGAGTGAGTGAGTGAGTGAGTGAGAGAAAGAGATAATTGACTTGGACAGACTTGACACTTAGTATGCCCCTGGGCAAGACAGGCGCAAAGGGGGGATTCGCATCCCTGGGATTTGAAATGTTACAGATAGTTTTTTAGGAAGCTGCAATGTAACATTAACTCAGTAATGAAGCACAGGAAAACCATCATGATGCTTCAAGAAGCCTGTTGATGGCTGTTTCCCCACAGCCATTGAGATTTTACAGATCTAATGTGTCCTTGTGGACTAACATTGACACTATATGGTCAAAAACAACCCTACAAAGCCCAAAACAAAAACTGTAATTTAGTTTTGGAATTTCTGTGTCATCCGGTGATGGATGACAGACATCTATTATGTATGAAAGCCTCAGGCTGACCTTTCCTTTTGCCTTGGCTTGACGAACACAGATTATTAACTATGCTTATGATGAATCACGAACGATATGTTACTGATCAACATACCGGTATATAATGCTCGATAACAAGCAGAATCCTATTTTTAGCACATCTGTGTTATGTGTTAATCTGAGCGTGTAGACAATAAGAAAAAAGAAAGATAGCATACATATATTTTTGCAACTGTGAACACTAAAGCACATAAACTACATTTAATGAAACGCATTCATTATTCAAACATTTCGGATCAATAAAACTAAGAAATAACATAAATAACCACAAACTGCAGATAGGATTTGCATTTCACATGCAAATCAAATTAAATCGGCTAAATTGGCTGTTCCAGCACGCTCTAAAGGCCTACAGCACAACATCGATGCACTGAAAAATAATCAACAATTAAGAACACAATTTATAATATATAAAAATACAAAACGATGAATCAGAATCATTTTCCTCCCATAGAAAGTCCCTGTAAAGGCAATTGAAAAAAAAATCTAAACACATTATAAATGTTACAAATGTATTGCTAAAACATATTACAAAGACTACGAAGTACTGAATGGGTGGTATTTCCGGTGAAGCTCTAAGGATGCTGGATTAATTCCACCGATCGTAGAGTCCAATGCTATACCGAAATTTTTTTTGGGTTTTTCTACTCTATGGCTATACTAAAGAAACGGTAGTCACAAAAACAGACAAAACAGACACCCCTCATTTTGTTTATGCTTCTTTGTTTACTATAATAAATAAACATATTACTAAACAAACATATTATATATAAAATTACATCTAAACGTATTAAAGTTTCGTTTCAAAGACGGGAGGATAGTAAATTTTGAAGACTCTGCCCATAATCCCGTTTCCTCGGTTTTCCTCCTCTTTAAATCTCCCCAAACGGAAACTGAAGAGCAGCCTTGCGTCGAATGCGGAACTTAAGCGTGCATATAGCCTATTGTGGAGTTAGACCGTCAAACCGGATTTTGGGTGTGGCTAAAACCGGTCTCGATGCAGTAGCAACTTACTGCAGTACACGAGATCCAGGGGGCGGAGTTGGATCCAGATCTGAGGGGTGGAGTTGGGTAGGTTTAGGGGTGGATTTAGAGATCAGGGGGTGGAGCTGGGTAGGTTTAGGTATATGTAAGGTGGGAGGAGTCTGGATCCGATTCCACCGACTATATTTTTTTAAATATAAAAATATATATTTAAAATAAAACATTATTTATACCGGTGCGTCATCAACTGGTAAGGTCATTTTGACTCATTTTGTAGGTTTTATAATTCCTGTAGCTGAAACAGCAGACTAGCACAAGCTGAACAAAAAGTATATGGTAAAAATATGCATAAATAAAGTAAATGGATTTGGAATGTGTTAATTTTTAAGGTTCTGTTTTAAAGGTTTAATAAAGCAAAATCAATATCTTTCCAACCCGGAATCTGCTTAAGGCCCTCTTGGGAATCTGGGAATCACAAGCAATGCAGGCCTTCTGATTGTCTAATTCACATTGCTGATAAATGAATATTTGCAAATGTAAATGGTGAGTTCTAAGCACTGACCCCAGGTCTTTTCCAGTGCACACGGCCAATCCTGTTACCCAGGTAGAAGAGCGATTCGTCCACGGACGGAAACAGTGGGTCCTCAAACAGCGCTCCACTCTGTAGACACTGCCTCTTGAGGGTGGAGTAATGCTGCCCCTCAAAGGCCTTCACAGACGAGAACATCTTTCAGCCTACAGAGGGACAACACAGAAAGAGAGAGAAATGCCAATAAGACAGATGCAGTATAGAAACAGTACAAGGTGCTCTTGCTGCTGTGAAGATCTCATCACCTTTTTTTTCCAGGAACATGATGTGCCTATTATTGCACGCATGACTTTCTAGCTTTGTGTCTGTTCATATTGCTCACAAAAACAAGCTGACTGTATTCTCCAGTTATAATTATTGGGTGGCATAAAATCTTTTGTTTGTTTGAGGCACTTGAGCTAACTAGATATTTACAGGCACAAATATATATTTCATTTCATTTTAATTTTTTATTTAATTTTTAGTTTAATTAATTTAGTTAATTTTTCCATATTGATCTAATGTTAATATTCATATGCACTACTGTTCAAAAGTTTGGGGTCAGTATGAGTTTTCTTTTAAAGAAAATATTACATTTATTCAGCAACGATGCGTTAAACGAATCAAAAGTGACAGTAAAGAAATGTTACAAAATATTTGCATTTCAAATAAATGCTGCTTTTTAAACTAAAGGATCCTAAAAAAAAGTGTATCCCTGTTTCCACAAAAACATTAAGCAGCACAATTGATTTCAAGATGTTAATAAGAAATGTTTTTTTGAACAGCACATCCAGCATATTAGAATGATTTCTAAAGGATCATGTGACACTGAAGACTGGAGTCATGATGTTGAAAATACAGCTTTACCATCAGAGGAATATACAACTTTGAAATATAATAAAATAGAAATACGTTTTTTTTTTTATTGTAACATCTTAAAATATTACTGTTTTTACTGTATTTATTGATCAAATGCATCATTGATGGGAATAACCAAAAACATCATCTTTAAAAAAAAAATCTTACCAACCCCAAACTATCTAAGTACGGTATATCTTAAATGCCAAATACAATAAAACAAACTCTATTTGAACACTACACATTGATCAGATGTCGGCATTGTGGACAAAACAACACAATACACCTGGCCAGATTCTATGAGACAGAGAATCTGAAAACGCAATTAGACTTGACAAACAAAAGATATACGATGACAATGTCAATGTCTGTCAAGAGGAGATTAAGTCATGGCAGGAACTGTACCTGCAGAACGACCATGTCACTGTGCCGCGGCACTGCTGTGACACTTTGCTTCAAATCCAGGTTGAACTGGAATGTATAATTACAAAGTTGTATTGACCACAGAGACTGGTAGAGTAAAAGCGATGCCAGAGACGAGTGTGTTGACTGGCGAATACCTTTTTTCGACTAAACGAGTCTATAACAGCCATTCATGAGTTTGAAAGTAGTTCAGATGACATCTTATCCAGAAACGTCACATACGACACGCCATTTATGTTCAAATGTACAAAAAAGGACCCTTGCGTCCATTTATCTGCATATTTCCGACGACTTGTCTAAAAAGCATGGGCAGTCTGTCAATCACAGCTCTCTGAGAGGCTAGTTTTGAGATCCGAGCTGCGGTGAATTATTCATCTCCATTCCCAAACCTTCAGGAACATTAATATTATGTCTTCAGCTTTCTGCCCATTTTCTCAGCACTAATGACAGAAAACCCTAGCTTATGTCATTCTACCGCCACATTTACACCATTTCTGCAGACTGCAGAGAAAACGTAAAGACTTCGGATAATAACAGCTCCATATCGTCACGCAATATCAATGTTAGCAAATGTAGAATGAAGCTTCTTCCATATCGATGATCTCGTTAATTGGCGATGATAATAATGATATCATATTTGCATCATATGTTATAGAAACAACATAATGATAAATAGAGCCAGACCGATATTATCGGCCGATATTAGGCATTTTCCATAATATCGGTATCGGCAGTTATAATGGCCGATAAATAAATATTTAAAAAATAAAATAAAAACGGACGAAACACGCTTCAATCATCTCTCCTTGGCCTGTTATATTGAAAATAAATATGATGTTATCTATTGCTAAATTATGGCTCATCATAGACTAGCTAACCACAAAGCAAGCTAATGCCAAAATCATCAGTGGAAGACCGCTAACGTTAACATTAATAAGCTTGGAAACCACAATGAACTTTTTCTGCTTAAATAAAGTAATGATTACTGTATTTATAGCTAGTATATATCTAGTTACAGTCTGTTTTTCTACAATTCTGTTTTTTGTTTTTTGTTTTAAACCGTGGATAAGCAAATGTACACGATATGATAATCGTACATGTCAATATCGCGATAAACCGCCATACTGGTATACCGTTACAACCCTACTTGATTGTACAGTACACTTGACTGGAGAACCTGGGGAAATGAAAACACAGCAGTTGGACTGCCAGCAAAGCAGATGGTGCCTGGTCTTGTCTCGTGACTGACTCGTGACATCAGTGAGATGTCCACCACACAAGCAAATGGTCTCTCCTCTACACGATCCTCCTGACGATAGGAAACATGTAGGCAGTGCTGATGCTTGCAAGTGGAATTCAAACTTCGGGGGAACCAAAGAGTACAACAGAGGGATCAAAGCTGCAAGAATATTATGTGATTATGCTGCATCTGTTCAGAAGCACCATATTGGCTTTATGAATTTGCAATGTTAAAACTAAGCTTAATGACAGATGTAATGTGCCAATTGAGACCGATAGAGGTCTTTTGACTCTCTTTCACACCCAACTTATGCACCGTTAGCTCATAAAAGTTTATAAGCGGGGTAGTGGAATGATGTGGTTTATGGTCTCGGGTCGATTAAGCATTGTCCGGTTCTGTCAACACTGCATTGGCTGCCTATTAAACATTGTATAAATTTTAAAATATTGATGATTACTTACAAAGCACTAAATGGTTTAGCTCCCCTGTACTTGAGTGATCTATTGCGATCTCGAAATTCCGGCCTGTTGATAATACCTAGAATATCAAAATCGACTGCTGGCGGAAGATCCTTTTCCTATTTAGCACCAAAACTCTGGAACAATCTTCCTTACATTGTCCGGGAAGCAGACACACTCTGTCGGTTCAAATCTATGATGTACTTGGTACATCATAAGAAGGATGGCGTCTACACTAATATTAGTCTCTCTGTTTATCCCGAGGTTTACTGCTGTCCACCATATCCAGGCTGTATCCAGATCTGATAAGGACCAGCAGCAGTCCTGAAGTGTCATCTAGTCTCTCCTCTATGGTGGACCTGTGCCTGGACCCATCTCAATGCAGTCCTGAAGTGTCACCTAGCCTCTCCTCTATGGTGGACCTGCGCCTGGACCCAACCCAACGTATTCCTGAAGTGCCAGCCTCATCAGCCATGTGAAGGCCTCATCGACACGACTGATTCTCAACAACTCGTCTTCCATACCACCGTGATTATTTAGACTTCCAACCAGATGGAAATGGATAAATATACTCTAAATGTTCCGATCCAATCTGACTTCTAATGCTGCCCGAATCATACACTGTTCCTTCGTTGGCCAGAACAGAACTGGCCCTCCGAATCAGTGTGGTTTCTCCCAAGGTGTGAAGGTCACCTGATGGAGTTGTGATTCCTTGCCATTGTTGCCTTGGCTTTTGGCTTGCTTAGTTGGGGACGTTTAATATTCAAAAATACATTTAATAGTCACAAAGTTGACAGCAATTTTCTTTTACAAACAATCGTTGTATTATTTTCATGTTATCACTGTGAAGCTGCTTTGATACAATCAGTATTGTAAAAAGCGCTATATAAACAAAAGTAACTTGACTTGACATTTGGGAAAAAAAAAAAAAAAAAAAAAAAAAAAAACAAGAGTAAGACCCAGAATATTGAGTTCCTGAAGAAAATGCACTGTATGAATCCCACGAGACAACAGGGCTAACATGGTGCACTACCTACTAAAACTCCTACTGTGCAATAGAAGTGTAGGTGGTAAAAAGAGTGAGAGCGCAAGAGAGGAAGCTGCACTGGAATAGCTGGCAGAGAAACAGTGTGCACCAAAGAGCTTGATGAAAACCCCCTCCCCTCTCCGACAAATCATAATTTCAGGGTATCCCAGCTGCGTCACTGCATCCACCTCATGAATACATTTAGTATGTCATCTCATCTCACCAGCCATACAGTACACCTAGAATCACCCCAGTACTCCATGACTCCTTATGCCTAAAACATGCATTGCTGAGTCCATCACTATTGCAAAATATGCTCAATTCAAAATGTACTGCAGACAGTGTTGGATGTGTTACTTTTGAAATGCAATCTGGTTACTGATGACAAATTGAATGACTTTAGGTAATATAATCTCAACACTCCTGGATATTACGTCTTATTTATTTGGTGTCACAAACAACAATAAGTGTGTAATGTTTTGACAGAAATACACATAAAAAGCACAGAGAAGCATCATCAACCTATTCTGGTAACACTTAAGGTTCATTAGTTAACTAACATGAACTAATAATGAACTGCACTTCAGCATTAATTCATCTTTGTTAATGTTAATTTCAGCATTTATTAATACATTATCAAAATCAAAAGTTGTATTTGTTAACGTTAGTTAATGCACTGCGAACTAACATGAACAAATGAACAACTGTATTTGTATTAACTAAAGATGAACAAATATATTAACAAATGTGTTGATCCTGGTTAGTTCATGTTAGTTATATAAACAAATTAAACCTTATTGTAAAGTGTTACCCCTTTTTTATATTATTGCATGTTTCAATAAATAAATATTGTGCATTAAGTATACTAATTAACACTCTTTTCACTAAACAATGAACTAGTTTGAGCTCTGCTGGAAAATACAATTTGGTGGTTGTTATTAGATAGTGGTTGAAATTTGGAACACAGTCAAAATGATCATCATTAGCTTGTAAATAAACCAGCTGCTTTTTAGTTATTACTGTACATGTATGGTGGTCAAGCTGGTTTATATTATATGGTGGCTGGCTAACCATCTAATGAACATACTTGACCAGCAATAGAACAGAACTAGTTAGAGCAGTAAATTATAGCCCAAATAAAGAAATAATCAATCTTAACATGGTAGCAGTATTTTGGAACATGGTAGTTGGTTTAGTCTAAGATTATCATTAGCTGGTAAACCAATTTGGACTAGCAACAAACATGAAGCTATCAGCTAGTCATTCCAATTTCAGTCATTTTCCAATCAGGCAAAAGGTTTTTATAACATGGTGACTGGTCAACCAGCTAATGACAATCAGCTAGAAGAGAACTAGTTAACTAGTCAGAGTAGTAAAGTCAAGTTTAAATGATTTGGGGCATTTAATTTGTCATTCCACTTTAAAGTGGGCGCAAGCTGTGACTGCTTAACCAACTGACCAATTAATAACTAACTAATAATCTTAGTTTAGCTAAAAACCAGGTCATGTCCATAAAATTTTACTTAATACTTTGAAGAAAACAAAATTGCTTCGCACACTAATATATGACTTCTCCTTGAAAGATATAAATAAATGAATAAGCAAACTAATTTATTACCATTGCGTGTTTTTTAATCAATAATAGTAATCAAATTGCCTATATCTAATTCATAAAAAAATATATTAAAACAATGTAATGTAGGCCAATTATAATTACAAATACCTCATCTGATTAGGCCAAACAGATTACATTTTACCCAAATATTGACGGAACTGCACAATAAGGTTTTCAAACAAACACTAAGCATGTCATCAGATCATTTTGTTGCATTAACAGTTCCGCTAACGACTGATAGACTACACTCGGACAAACTTATCTTAATAAGAAACGCAAGACGTGGGAACAACTAATTTACAACGTGCCACGGAAAGTGATTTCCTTTCCTGTTCAAGAACAATTGGGCTCTGCTTTACCCGAACGTACCGAACAGATGCATTAGGCTTCTAGTTCACACACTGGGCTTTAAAGACATGACAAATTGTGCCTGGAAAAGCCAAGAATCCCCATCAAATAAGAGCGCGATATTATTATTTTTTTTTTCGCCGCTGCACGCGTCCCGTCAGGTGGCACTAGCAAGATGTGCCTCTCGCGCTCGGAATTAACATAAATCAGCGCGCTCATCTCGTTTGTACGGGTAATTACAGTCTCGCATTCTAAACCGTGTCAAATTCGATCGGATATCACACTCTGCTAGTCTAATAGATCGACACGGCCTCCTTGCTTGTGAAATAATCCAATACCTGAGCACAACTCCAGTCCCACGTTGGCGTCTCTCTCTCCGGTCCTCCCGGGATCCAGCGACGTTCTTGCGGTCCCGTGCAACCGAGGCTCTTCTCCGAGCTCCGGATCACTCTCACGCGTGTCTGGGAGGGGCCTACGAGCGGAGGGGGGACTTTCTGAGCATGTGCGGGCGGCGGGGTAGACACCAATGTGTGCCCAGCAGACACACACACACACGCGCGCGCGCGCGATGATGCATTATGTCATTTTTGTTGAAATAGTGCCTTTATTCAATAGCATTAGCGTGTAACTCAACATAATACTACTCTTGCAGTATTATAATCAGAAGTCCATCAGTCCATCTCATCAGCACCATGGACAGCGGCAGCGTACATTTCTAACTTGCCACTAGGGAGACATACTAAACAGAGACCGGCTACTGAGGAAAAGACGCCTGAGCCCTGCAATTCTCTGAAATAACATACAATATGAATCATGAGGATAATTTAATCACTAAAAAAAGGAATTGGCCTGAAATTTACATTTTCTTAACGCAATGAAAGGCACATTTTCTGAGATTGGATGTTCAGAGCAAGGATAAGCTAATGGTGAACCCAGAAAAAGTCTTTTTCAGAATGTAGTCATATTTTCACCTAGGGTGTTGGCGTCAAAGGTGACAAAACGCATTTAAAAGATGCATTTAAGTTGCCCAAGATCACAGACATGCACCTGACCCTGTACTCCTCTATTTCTTTCAAAGTTCATTTTTATTAATTTCATAGATTTGTGAAATAAGGCAGGGATATTTCAGCAATTTCTCAGCATGATGTGTGTTGAGATCTAGTCAGTCATCCAGCCGGCCAGGCTGGGCAATGAGCTGAAATCAGATATGGAATTCCTCAAAGGAGTGCTAGTGTCTAAAAAAAAAAACGTCCCAGAGTTCACTGGGCGTGATAGGCTACGCCATGTAGATAAACGTGTTAATGTCCGTCTCGTCCCGTTTGATGTACTTCTGTTCTATCAGCCACTCGATCTGCTCTTTGATCATCTTTTTCTGGGGAAGAAACATGTTCTTTAGGATCTCCACCAGCTCCGTCTGAAGCTGGGCGTTGCTGATCCTCTTCCTCATCTTCATAATCTGAATGATAGCTTCCTATACAGAGTGAAGAAAAGGAGTTTGGTGACAAATGAGGTTTCCTTCAGTGTTAGCATGTCTGAGAAATGTCTAGAGTTTAATGTTTCTCATGCTATTATAGAAAAGTTGAAACTGCCTGCATATGAATATTTTTACAAAACGTAAAAAAATAAATGGGTAAGATGGACCACATGGTACAGTACCCAGAAAACAACCTTCAAAACCATTTGAAAAACATCTGAGGACGCACCTCATGAAATCACCATATAATTCCCATTATACCTGTATCACTGTTTGATTACTTCACTATTATTCTAAAATGTGGAAAAAAATATAATAAAGAATCTAACACACACACGTGCACACGCACACACTGCTAATATAATATTATGGGGACCAAGGTGAATATTTGGGACAGACAGACAGACAGACAGACACAGACAGACAGACAGACAGACAGACAGACAGACAGACAGACAGACAGACAGACAGACAGACAGACAGATAAATAGATAGATAGATAGATAGATAGATAGATAGATAGATAGATAGATAGATAGATAGATAGATAGATAGATAGATAGATAGATAGATAGATAGATAGATAGATAGATAGATAGGAGTATCAATGATAGGTTCAATGACTCCAATACCTGTGTGCGTAGTATCCTAAGTTGCACTATGCCCTCATTTTCTTCTTCGCGCATTCTCTCTGTGGTGAGTTGTAATCGACCAATCAAATTGATCTTCCCTCTTTTCTGGACCTTTGAGTTTTTTCTGTGCAGAAGAGATCATTTCATTGAAATGAGGTCTTTTAAAACATGCAATTAAGAAAAATATAGTAGTCCAACAATATTTGCATATTATGTACACACCATTAAATACCATTCAAAGGTTTGGGGGCACGCATGTGTTAAAATGTTTTTAACATTTCTTTTTTCCAGCAAGGGTGTTTTAAATTGATCAAAAATGACAAATAAATACCTTTTTTTCTCTACAAACAGTGATGAGTGTCCTTACATTAAAGAGAACTCTTGATTGATGTAAAATACAGAGCCGTCAGCGAAGTCTTTAGGAGAGCCCACCACAGGTTCATATGACAGCACCTGACGCTTTAGTTTGGGGAAAGCTACAAGAGACTACACATTTAAAAACAACAAACAACCAAAAAATGGTTAGACAGTATTAAGCAATGTCATATCAGATCCCTTCATTTTCATTCCACAAGATCAGACCATGTTCATCCTATTGCTAACAGTGAATTGTTTTAATGTCATCAAAATAAAGACTCTGTTACCCAGAGGGTCCGGCGTAGCTCAGCGTCTGGAAGTTCTGTGGCTAATTTCAAATTCTCAAAGCTGATCCTCTCTCTTGGCCTTTGGTTCCAGGCAAACAGCACAGCTAACTGGAATGTTGTAACTTCTAAATCATACTGCCCAACTTCATTCTTGAATGTGATCTAGGGATAGAAGAGATGAGACCAATCTTGACCTGTTCCCTTGACATGAAGGTGCCCTATACAATGTCAAATTTGAGACAGATTATCCAAATCCAGTGTAGCAAGACTAAATTTCAAAGACTAAATTAAAGTTTCCACATTAGTACAACTTCTGAGCATCAAAGTTCAGCATTTTTTTCAGGGCTGTAACCACAAGTCCGACTCAATGATTAGAAATGGTCAAATTGTTCATCCCCAGTATTTGACATTCTTGAAGCTGTTCTGCTGTACTCCTTTACGCACTGCTCTGTTTGTTGTTAGGATGACGAAATGTTTTAAAAGTTAGCCTACATTTGTAGCCTCATCACTCATCAATGTCAAAATGATTGGAACGGCCAATCTAATCAAAGAAGGCGGGCCTTACTGTTCACAGATGACTGGTGTGAATTCCACCACAATGGTTTAGCGGTTAAAATGAGTATGGTGAGATGCTAGTAGTTTAACATTCAATATCTGACAAATGTGTTACAGAAATGTCCAAGGATTGAAACTACTCAACTTTTTCATGAAATTTCACTGTTTCGAATGATTCATGTAAATCATCACTAAACTTGACGAGACAAGAAATATTGTGACGTAGACATACGATGAAGAGTGAATGTGTGCATTTTTATAAAATAAAATATAATTTCCAAATAGTTTAATTTGATAACCTCACAACTACAATTGGACCTAGAACTTTTTTGCCTTAATAGTCTTCATTGAAAACTTCTGGTTTTGTCTCTCCCTTATTTCACAGGAAGTAGAGCATGCCATTATACAAAGGGCTTAAGCTGAAGCTGCCACTCACAATGCCATTGGACATCAAATGGTGCCAGTGTAATTTTCTGCCACTGTGATTTTTCTTGTAAAACTCCTCGACTTCAGGAATGAGATCTTCTAGTTCGGTGGGCAACGATACGAACACTTTCTCTGAACTCCGAGACCATGCTCCCGCATTCAAGATCTTTATATTGACAGAGTCGGCTATAGTGTAAAGACATAATTCAAAATTAGTTTGAATGTACAACAAAACAGTTCAGAATAGAGGCTTACACTCCCAACCAACGCAACAGAGTGCGGCGCGGGGCGAGATTTGATGGGTGAATGTGGGTGCGAGCGGTTAGATACTCGTGTGTGGGCAAGGCTTAGTCTTCCCCTGTTTGCTGCTACTTCTGATCACTTGTAGAGGGAAAAGCCGGTCATAACTGCATGGTTTAGTTTTCTCTGTAGTAATAGCATATTGGTGAAACAGATTTGGCAAGCGATCAAGAGCATATCTGTGTTTGTGCTCTGGAAAGCATCAAAGGTTTCTATTTTCAACACATTTTTGCAGCGTTAAGTAAATCTCCAACAAATCTGTTGATTTCTTGAACGCAATGGCCAATCAGAGGTGTTTAAAGGGTAACTAAACCCCTGGTCAGAGCTTGACTCCACCCACTGGCAATATTTGAAAATGCTGAAAAAGTGGGCAGACCCCAGCGGAGATAGAGGGGACGAAATAGATGCTAAAACACTCTATCCTGATCGTTTTCAATACTCACAATTCCAATTCCTGACTCCCTACAGTGGTTTTGACGAGGGCGTAGCTCGCGTGGTGAGCTGAAACCTGCGTACGTCACAAAGTGCGGAACATTCAATAGGAAAATTCAACTGCAGTAGCCACCGTTCAACCTGAAGAGGGCAGCACTAAGACGTTTTTACACCATAGTAGAAATAGAACACTTTATAAACAAATGTCAAAAAAGTTAATCGAATCAGTGACTGGTATTAATAAAGATCCATTCTTACAGATCATTAACTAAAAAAAGTTGGTTAAGTGTTTAGTTACACTTTCTTACCACTCAAAACGACTGGGTATTTGTGTATTTGTATTTGTACCTCGCAAACAAAGTGTAGACATTATGAGATTAATTTGTGCAGTCAGCTTAATTGAATATAACGTAACTTTGTGAGATTGTGATGAACTAAAATGAGTTGTAAAACTAACAGCTTTTTAGTGATTATAAAGGGAGCGCTCTTTGTGCGCTTTCTGCAATGCTAATCACACATGTATTAGACTGTACTGGACTTGCTTTTCTGTTAAAATTAACAGGGCTTTGTAAATGTAGATGCTTTAAAAACAAATAATATATCTGGAGTGTTTATGCTGAGATGTGTAGGTTGTTGCTAGGTGGCCAAACTTGAAATTATTTCATGGATGTACTGAAAAAATCTGTTTAATTTTACCTGAAGACTTTTGTGGGCGGTAGTGGGACAAAACATGAATGTTGCGGGTAGGAGTGGGAGAAGGTAACAATTTTGCAGGAGCGGAGACCTCTAATTCAGAAGCAACATAAGACACTCATATCTGACCTGGCAATGCAAGTTTGTTGTGTTTATGCATTTCTTTGAAGGATTGATTTAAGTCTTCTGATACTTTGATGTCCTGGAACATTCTGGCGAGCTTGTTCACGTAATCTGCTGGCATACCAACCTCCTGTACAGACACAAAAGTCACTCGACAGAGATTCACTAAAACGTCTTTCATCGATAATTACAATCTCGTTCTCAGTTCCACTTACCCTGAGCCACTCCACCATGTTCTCTTCAATCTCACTGTCTGCAGAAATGTCAAGAATGAGCCTGCGAGTCAAGTGCGCTTTGTGGTACCTCATGAAGACATCTTTGTTCTGAACATACTTTAGAACCAAGAGCTGTAATCAGTAGATAGATCAAAATAAATAATTAACGCATTGCATCTAATATAGCAGTTGTGAACAGAGACGAGCAAAAAAACACTGCCACAATAAATTACAAATATTTAATGGACACTCTACCCACTCACCACTTCCTTCAGCTTGGCCTCTATTTCCTCTGATGTGAGTTTCTTACTCAGTGGAGTCTTTCTAAGGAGCATATCACAGTAGTTGGCCAGCAGTTCTGGACATTTGGACTCTGGTTGTGTTTTTAGACCCCCACTGCACATAAAGGACAAATAATTCAAAGCAAAACCACAGTGATTTAAATATATCCAGATCTACAGATAAAA